TCTACGGGATAACTTCTATTTCTAAGCAATGTGCGCTCATTAAAGCCGCTAAAACCTAAATCTTAAACAAACGGTGCAATTAAATCAAAGCAAATGTTCGCAATGCCGCAAACCATAACACAGGATGGAAGAAAAATAATTAAGTTTAAACGCTTTTAATGTTTATGGTTGCTCTGAATTAACAAAAATAAGGATTATTTTTTATTTTTGTTTATTTTTAGAGAATATATTGGTGCCAAATGGCAGCGCGCTCTGCTCCGGTTCACATTGTAATCCAGATCCAGAGGATGGTGTTTCTGAATCCTAATCTGTAGGTTATGTTGGTGTCCAGGCGTGCATCTTTACAGCAGAGAGCAATGCACTATTTAGTTGATATCTTACATGACCAATGACTGAACCCGAGTAAAATACCACCGAGCGCAGCCTATGCAGGGCAACGGCACTTTAACTAACTGCTGACATTTGCTGGGGTTCACGGCTCTGCTGAGGTTCAGGAAAGAGGGATGGAGCTGCACAGCTGTTCCCAGGCCAGGCCTGGATGACAGCTCCAGAAAAAGCCCGGGCCCCGCTCCGTGCAGACAGATGCACCGTGGGCTGGGGTCTCAGAGGAGCTAAGCTTCAGTGGAAACAACCGACACAGCAGAGATCATTTGTCAGGTAACACAGAGAGCTGTAAAACAAAAACAGAACTACAATGCATCATATACCAATCATCATAAGTGGACTGCATGATTGAATTTCATATGAATCTCCTTTGAGAAACACACTTTCAAATCTCCAGCAGTGGAAATAAAAAACAAAAAGGCAGTGAAATTACTTTACTTCACTACTGAAGTCTGGCATATTCTTTCACTATCAAAATTTCCTTTGTTAAAGGAAAACGGCTGCTTAAATGTCACATATATGTTTCTCTCTATGTGAAAATGGAGAGAAGAAATCTGATCCTTGCTCTTAGAAATGTTTTAAACAAAACTAAAGAGAACAAATCCATAACTTTCAAATGTAATCCAAACAGTGTTTGGCAATTTTTTTAGGCTAAAAAGACGAATGCAAACTGGATGTGACTAAATGCTTTAATAGAGTTAAACAGTTTAAACAGAGAGGATCGTTTAAGTCACAGTAAAAAAAAAAAGTTTAAAGAATTAATATCAGTTCAAAAATATCCATAACAAACATGTAAAAGAAGCAAACAATTCTGCCTCAACGTGTGTCTTAAACTCCAACTTCAAAACTTGGATTTTTTTGGGGGGGTTAAATCCCACAAATGAGTGAAAATAAATAAAGCCAGATTAGGACTATAATCACTGTTAGCAAATTGTAGCAAATATAGAAAAAAAAACGGTTGACTTTCCAAGTTTGTCTAGAAGAACACACATGGTGTCCGTGGTTTCCAATGGAATATTGAATAATAAAATATTACTTAATATTTTATTTGGTAAAGAAAACCCCCAAAAAACCAGACAGTAAAAACTGGTAAGAAATGAAATGAACTAAAGATGTAGCCTCTATGCTAATTTTACATTTTTTTTTTTTTTTTATGTTAGTCTGGTCTAATGTGCCCAATATAGCATTTGTATTTCTTAGTCTACTAGATGGTGGTTTCCTTGCACACATTTTTAATTTTTTATTTATATATTACTACCAACCAAATATGAAAAAACCTTTAAAAATCTGATGTCTTTCAATCGGAACAAAAAAGAAAAAAAGAATTGTAGAAACAAGATGACCTGCAGTAAGAAATGAACCTTCAGGGAGGAAGATCACCCAAACGTAATAAGAGTTAGGTGTGAACAGACGAAGGCACATCTGGACATTTTTAAAGATATTTTTCGCCTCAAAACTTTACAACAAATGTATTTCATGTAATATTTAATACTGACACCAAATTTTATTTCCTCACTCCTTCAGGTCCTGCTTTTGCTTTAATATAACTAAGAACATTGACTTCATGTAACAGATTCCATCTGAAATGCTACAAATGAAGCAGCTAAACACTTCTAAGGGGATTAAACGTGCATTAACGCAAACATAGCGCTGCCTGTTGCTGTTAGTTCTCCGCCTCCTTGGCGGTGTCACTTTTAGAACCTGTCGGGGGCGTTTTGGACTCTGCGGCCGCTGATGGTTTTTGTCTCTGTCCGGACCTCTTGTGTCCCCGCTGGCTCTTGGCAGGCTCGGCCTGCAGGCTGTGACCGTTCAGACAGAGACCCTGCAGCGCCTCCAGGGCCTGGTCTGCCACCTGAGGGTCGCTGTAGTCCAGGAAGGCTCTGTGCTGGGCCCCCTGCCAGGTGAGCCTCAGCGGAGCAGCCTTCCTCTCCCTGAGGGCCACTTTCAGCTCGCTGACGCGCAGGCCGGCCGGGATTCCTCCCAGGTAAACAGTGGTGACACTTTGAGGGAGCTTCCTTTGGCTCACTGTTTCACTTCCACCTTCCTCTGGGCCCTGCTCCTTCATCCTCCTCCTGCTCCTGCCTTTCACCACTTTACCAGCTTCTCCCTCCTCCTCTCCTTTGCCACTTCCCCTGCTCTCTTTCCTGACTCTAGCTGGCTGCTGTCTGGCTTTCTGATCAGCCTCTCCTTTTTTCTCCTGCCAGGATTCCTGGCTGGTTTCTCCCTCGGTATCCTGTTGTGTGTTCCGCCTTGGCCTCCGTCGTGGTTGTCTTTTTGGTAGATTAGTTTGCAGACCAGGCTCTGCAGTATGCGACTGTGTTCCCAGAGTCACATCCTTCCCAGCCTGTTCCTCCAGAGCGCGCAACTTCTTCAGGATGGGAATTTTCTCCAACTTTTCTGCATCCAGCTACAAAGACAAAAGAACCAGTTTTAGCTCATACTGCCCACCGTTAATAAATATCTTTACAGCAGCAGGATATTTCACTTCCCACACGGTTAAAAATAAACTCTGCCGTCTTGATTTGTTGGGTCTTCAAGTGTCCTGGCAGCCTTTGATGCTGACCAGTTATGTATAGGATACAGGGCTATTGTTTCTCACGCTGGCCTGTTTGACCCGCTGTTCCTCCTGAACCCTGCAGAGCCAAGCTGGCTGGGCAGAGCCGCCTTTGATGATCAGACTTGGCCTTCCTGACTGGGAGGTCACTGGGGCTTGTTTACTTACATGTGTCTGGAGAAACCCAGAGCTTACACACATCACATGCCCAGAAGACAAGAATAATATTCTCATCTTGTCTGATTAAAATTAATCATGGAGAAATTCACACAATGTCTCTGCCAGTCAGTGTCAGTAAATCAGGAGGAGGATTTAAACCAGACCGTGTCATAAACGGACAGGAAAGAAAGTGAGATTTGGGCACAATGCAGAGAGGATACTTTGATACAGCACCTGGACTTTGTATTAAAATATACACTGAAACCTCTGCTAATTTTTATGAGCACAAGTATTTTATTATTAATTTTTATTATCAAATTGTTAATATGTTGTTTTAAAATATCAAATGAACAATTCAAGAAACAGCGATTTCAAAATATTATGAAGATAAATAGGTTCAGTCCACTAGGGGGCAGTGTTACCTTAAATAATCAGTAAAGTAGGGATATCAAGCACTGAAGCTTAGTCTAAGGCAAGGGTCTGAAACCTTTTAAAGCCAAGTTAAATAAAGGTTGTTTAGAGCCACAAGTATTACATACCCTTTAGTTACAATAAAACTTGGTAATTTTGTTATCTGTAATATGAGATCTCTTGCTATTTTATAAAAAAAAAAAATTGTATTAGTATTTTTAGTTTTCAACCTTTTAATACGAAGTGTGCCATATTTCAACTTTTGAGACCTCCACATCATCAGCATAATATTTTGGCTCTTGAAAAACAGGATTTATACAATTAAAGACAGGAACAGAAAATTCATAATAAAGGAAAAAAGAAATGCTTAAATGTGTCACAAATGATGCAAATAGCTTCTCTAATTTAAATGATTCAAAGTTTATGGATTTTTTTTTATTATTATTTACAATGTTGACAACGACGACCCTAGTTTTGAAAAATTATAAATTGTCTGTCAATATTTAATGTTTTAGACTTTACAGGATAAATCAAATCTTTCATAAAGAGGAAGAATGACTTTCCGTTATAGGATATTATAACAAAAAAAAATAATGACAAGGAATATAGAGCTAAAAACATATGTGTTGTGAAACTTCAGTTTGAATGTTGAATTTATAAAAATCTGCAAAACCTTCTAAGAATGGCATACATTAATTTACTAAATTCAAAACAATCAGTTGGTTTTTAATCGTTTTTAGCCACTGTTAAGAGCCATAGCAGCTCCGGAGCCACAGGTTGCTGCTCTAAGGAAAAGCCTACACAGTGAATTTAAGAAGTGAAACACCAAAAAAAGA